TTTGTCTTTTTGAGACAGGGTCTCACTATGCAGTTCAGGCTGGCCTTGAGCTCACTTTGTAGCCCAGGCTGGGCTGGAACTCACAGTGATCCTCCTGTATCAGCCTCCCGAGTGCTGGGATCACAGGCATGCACCACCACGCCCGGCAAGAAGTTCTTTTCTGACCAAGCTTATTTGGGGCTCTATATGTCTCACTCATCTGTATATTCAATTCTTTTCCCTGTTCTGAAAGTTTTCTGCTATTATTTCAGCAAATGGATTTTTTAGTGCTACTTGTGAGCCGGGTGTGGTGGCACACGCCTGTGATCCCAGCACTCAGGAAGCTGAGGCAGGAGGATGGTTGCGAGTCTGAGACCAGTGGAAAACTTTGTTTCTGGTGTGGAGACTTCATTAGTTACTGTCTGCTTTTCAGTCGTGTCCACTGGGGGATGCTAACTCCTGGCCTTCAGCTCTGTCTCAGGTTTCACCCACTTCTGTTTACTTGAGCAGAGAGGCTGCAGCCTATTTGGCTCAGTATCCAGGTTTCTTGAATGGGCCACATTGTTCATGACCCCAAGATAATGCGGATATTGGCATCCCAAGAAAACCGATCAAGAGAACAGCTATGTCATAGTAGCTGTAGTAATAAAATCTCCATCAACTGTAGAACCAAATACAAAGTGAATACTGAGAAGCCCTAAAGACCAATAAAGTTCTTCCCTTAACTACTCCAAAGAGGCCTACAGGTGTCATATGAATACTAAGACAAACCAAATATTGACGTACTATTGACCTCCAGTAAGTGTTTACTAAGTGGAACAGCTAGAGCAATATTCAAAAACAATAGCGTAAAGTTAACTAGCTACCTAGAAATTCATAAAGCTGAGCAGTTATACTAGGAAATGTAGAAGAAGTGGGGATATGGCAAATGGAAAAGGCAAAATTTGAAAAATTAATCAATGGGTTATGAAGGAGGAGAGAAAGGTGAGCTAGGGGCTTCTGTTGAAGAGTAAAAGGAAATTAATCATGATAGAGAGCAGTCATAGCAAAGGATGGATAAGAAAAAGAAGAAAGAGTGGGGCATGGTGGCACACACCTGTAATCCCAGCACTCCGGAGGCTGAGGCAAGAGGATCCTTGCAAATTCAAGGCCAGCCTGGGCTACAAAGTGACTCAAGGCCAGTCTGAACTGCATAGTGAGACCCTGTCTCAAAAAGACAAAAACAAAAACAAAAACAAAAAGAAGAAAAAAGATAAACAATGAGCACAAGCAAGAGATAAAACAAAGGTAAGAAGAAAGAGAAAAAAGTTGAAAGGGAAAAGAGAAAAGGCGTGAAAGAATTTAAAAGGGGAGAGGGGAGGCACAAATCCCCCAAAATCCCGCTGAAAGAAAGATAAAAATAATACAAATTAGAAAAATAAAAAAAAAAAAAACAAGGCAAAGAAAAAAATTCCCATGTTACTGAGTGAGTGATTTCTTTGCAAGCTCGGCAGTCTTGGGACGCAGTCGGCCGTGATTTTCTGTGCCTGGCTTTAGGGCCCGTGGGTTTCTGAGGCGCCCTCCCTGCACAGAGGCCCCTCTGTCTGTGCACCCCGGACTGTGGTTACCTTCTAAGCCACACTGTGTCCTTGTACCCTTTGCTGGATGGGGATGCAGTCTGCCCTCCGGGCTCTGCGGGATGCAGGCCACGGGCTGGGCTTTCAAGCAGGCTTCCCGCCTTCACGTTCACGGGTGTGAGAGCGCTGGTTGCTCCCTTTTCTCCTCCAGCACGGTCCTTATCCAACATCAGGTTGATAAGCTCAGCCTCACCTCTGCTGGCCACGCCAAGGGGAGGCAAAATGTGGAGCCAGCTTGTGCCCGTGAGGAAGGGCGCCGCTCATCCGGCCTGGGTCTGCTTGCTGCCACGGAGCGGGAGTCGCTCCTCCCGCGTGGTTTGCTGGCTTGTGTGTATCTGCAAATTTACTTAAGATAGAAGATGGATGAGGCGGTCTGCAGCATTAACGGAAAACAAAGCCAAATCACGGAGCTACGCTTAGGTGCACCCTGTGAGTGCGTCTCACTGTGACTTTCGTCTTGCCGCTGTAGCAAATCACTGCAGACTTCATGACTTAAAACAGGGCCAATTAGCTCACAGTTCTGAGGTCAGAGCATGAACCACTTCATCAGATCGAGGTGTCAGCAGCCTGCCTTCTGGAAGCTCTCGGGGAGAATCTACATCCTCACCTTCCTCCGCTTCTAGCGCCGCCAAACTTCCTGACTCCTGGCTTCTATCTGAGTCCATCACCTTATCACTCAGAGCTCTGCTACCGTCTTCATAGTTCCTACGATCCCCACCATAACCACATCTGCAAGGGCCTTATGTCACCGGAGGTGGCATCCTTGTAGATTCCAGAGATTAGGACACAGATGTCTTTCTTGTTTTCTGGTACTGGGGATTGAACTCAGGGCCTCATACAGCTAGGCAAGAATTCCAGTGCTGAGCTACATCGCCAGGGCTTTTCACTGGGAAGAGGTTTAACCTCAAACTTGTCATCCTCCTGTCTCAGCCTCTGGAACAGCTGGGACTGCAGGTGTGCACCACTTGGCTTCTGCTCTCTCTTCAAAACGCTCACTGTCGCTGCGGACACAACTGCCCTGTCCTGTGGGGGCTCGAGCTTGGCCTCCAGGACTAAATAAAATCTGTGTTTAAGGCTCAGGTTTAGGGTTCATGGGGCCTCATGATCAAAGTCCAGGGCTCCACACCTGAGACCCTAGAGGAAGACTTGTGTTGTGAGTGAGCTCACGTCCGGGAGTGGGTACTGAGCCGCAGAGGAATTTACGACTTGAACTTGACCCTGAGTTCAGGAGAGAGGAGGCCGTAGCAATAGGGAAGTGAGCAGGCAGGCGTGGCCTTGGTCCTGCACTTTACCTTAGCCGGGAGGAGCACGTGAGAACCAGACAACTGCGTGGTGGCCGCGGCTTCTGGGGTCGCGCCCCCCCATGTCCGCTGATGGGCACAGCGCGTGGGGAGTAGGTGAGGCCCAGCGTTCTCCCCAGGTAACTCACAGCCTGGCAGGTTACGGAAACAGGCTTCTTCTCCCCTACCTTTGCACTTTCTCTCTTCTCTCCATTAAGAATGTTAATTTTAAGTTTTATGTTAATTTACAGGAAAGAGAGACCTTAGGAAGTTCAGATGTGACCAGAGAAGACCGTGGAGACTTGATGGGGTCTGCATCCTCCTTTTCCTTATTGCCGAGGACGCCCACCCCCACCCAAGCTTCCCTCCCAGTCTACTGGCTGTGCGTGTAGCCCAGACACCAGGGGCGGCCTGCGCCCAGCAATGAGTCACCCTGCGTCCCCGCAGGCAGCAGAGGGCTCACCCGAAGAGGCAAAGTCCAGGTGCCTTGCTGGCAGGAGCGCCCGGGGAGTAGTGCTGCAGAGGAAGGCGGCAGAGAGAGCAGCATGACTTCCGGGAAAGGTAGGGGGTTCCCCAGGCCCGGCCAGGGGCCTAAGCCTTCCTTCTGCCCCCTCCTCCCAGCTGGCTGGGTCTGCAGGTTGGCACTGCGGCCCGCTATACACTATGAAAATGTGTGTGTGGGCTGTTTCCTCTGTGTCCTTGGATGTTTTCCAACTTTCCTTAATATGTTAAGATTAATACATTAATATTATTATTATTATTATTTTTGGTCTTTTTGAGACAGGGTTTCGCTATGCAGTTCAGACTGGCCTTGAGCTCCCTTTGTAGCCCAGGCTGGTCTTGAACTTGCACTGACCCTCCTGCCTCAGCCTCCCGAGTGCTGGGATTACAGGTGTGTGCCACCCCACGCTTAAACAAGCTGTATTACTGTGCTGATCAAATGGTTACATCGTGATTTGATTTTGATCAAATGATACTAGATTGGTGCTGGTTTCATGATAAAAAATTAAGTGAAAACATAACAAACAATCTTTTCAGATAGAAGTGATAGCACAAGGCCGCCTTGCTAACTGACAGTGGGTTTATAATGGTTAATGTGCAAGTTCACAGTTCACTGGTGTTAGAAGAATGTCTGGAGAGGGAGTGGGCTTCTGGCTGGTGAAGGAAGTGATTTCAGATGAGGTGGGATTGGAGCTGGATCCTAAAGGAAGGGCAGAATTCAGACTGGGAAAAGCAGGAGTCAGGTGTGGTGGGAGGGCCTGCTGTCCCAAATCTGCAAGAGGCTGAGGCAGGAGAACTTCAACCTTGAGGTCAGCTTGGGCTACTTAGTGGCACCATGTCTCAAAAAAATTAAATGACATAAAATAAAATGAAACGTGCTGGGGATGAAACTCAGTAGAATATCCCTGGGTTTGATCCCTGGTACTAATAAAACAAACACAAAAAGCAAGATTCCTGGTTGACTGAATCCTGTTGAAATAATGAATCTGAGAGTTTGCAGTGACGTGTGTTTAGAATGTAATGGGTGAACCTGGCAGGCTAGAGAAGATGTTATGAAAAGAATCTGAGGTAAGGCTACAAGGCAAATTTGGGGTGATACTGTAGGGAGCTTGGAATGCCAGTCCAGAGACATGGAGATTTAACTGGGCATCACGGCCCACGCCTGCAATCCTGGTACTTTGGGAGGCTGAGGCAGGAGGACCATAAGTTTGAACCCAGCCTGGACAGCTTAGTGACTTAGTAGGATCTTGTCTCAAAACAGAACAAAACAAAACAGAAAAACAGCAGCAGTAGCAGCAACAACAAAGTCTGAGAATGCGGCTTTGTGTGAAGGCCTTGAGTTCAATCCTTAATAACGCCAAGACCAAAGACAAGGAGGTTCATCTTTTCATTAGAGCGAAGTCTCTGAGCCTTCCTGAGCTGCACAGACGGCTGGAAGAGCGCTGCAGGCACGGCCACCTAGTGCTGGATGGGTTTGGGCTGGGCGCGCACAGAGCAGTTGCCTGCGGTGTGCGGCATCACACCTGGAGCTCTCACTCTCTTTAAAGACAGGGTCTCACCATGTAGTTCCTGGCTGACCTTAAACCCAAGGCTGCCCTCCTCAGTGTCCTGAGTGATGGGTTACAGGCGCGCACCGCCACCCCTGGTTCTGGCCCTTCTTTTAACATTGACAGGTTTATTCTTTAGAATCGTGCTTCCTGATTCTCTATTTCCTAGAAATCTGGCCAATTTTTCTCTCCCTCCCTCCCTCCCTCCCTGCCTTCCTTCTTTCCATCCTTCCTTCCTTCCACCTTCCTTCCCTCCATCTTTCTCCAGTACTTCTGTCCTTCCTCCTCCCTCCCTCCTTTCCTTTGCCTTCCTTGCAGTGCTCTTCCCAGGCAGGAGGTGGCGCCATACGCAGCTCCATCCTGGCCCTCACCCGTGTGCGCAGTGCAAACACACAAGGGCTTGTTACATGACCCTGCATAAAGCGCATCCTGCCGTAGAGGAAGCGTCTCCAAGAACTCCTGGATCTTCTTGGCTCCTCACAGCCCTGAGAGCTGAGGTCAGGCTGGGGCAGGCGGGAGCAGAGCCTCTTGCTGGCGCCCGCCCGTGGCTGCATCGCTCTCAGAGCGGGTGTGGCTTTTCTGTCTCTCTGACCCACTGAGAATGGGTGTCCGGCGGGCACACCTTGCGCTCTCTGGAACCCCATGCACCTCTGCTTCCCTGAAAAAGAGAGACTGGCCATGGTGACTGAGCCCTGGACTTCTGGCCCTTTTCTTCCATCTCCTCAGACAAGCTTAAACTTCCAGACAACTACTGAGCAGCTCTCTAGTAGAACTCGTTTGTGTGTGTGTTGTCAGGGCCAGGCAAGTGCTCTGCTGCTGAGTTACACATTCAGCCTGTCACTCTTTAACGTCAGCCAATTTTTCTCTTTTTTTTCCCGGTACCAGGAATCGAACTCACGACCTTGCACTTGCCAGGCAGGTGCTGTGCGCTGAGCTAAATCTCCAGCCCCATCAGCCAATTTTTCTCCAGATTATTTCTCTGTTTATTTCTGTGTTTTGTCTGTTTGTGTGAGTCTCGGTCTCACGTGATGTAGCCCAGGGTGGCCTTGAACTCCTGGTCTGCTCACCTCAGCCTGCCTGGTGCAAGGATTACAGGCACGCAGTGCCACTTTCTATTTATTTCTCAATTTCTGAATGAAGTTGAGTATGAGTATATTATATTAATTTACTGTCAGCTGTGTATTTCATTATTTAATTCCCTAAAGTATAAGATTTTGAATTACTGGTTTTGTAAGATTAATTCTCTAATGCTTATTCTTTTATGAGGAGACCATTTGGGGGTGAAGAGGAGTCGATGACACTAGACATACGTTTACAGTAAAGTTACCTCTTTCTTTCTTTCTTTCTTTTTTTCTTTTTTTCTTTCTTTCTTTCTTTCTTTCTTTCTTTCTTTCTTTCTTTCTTTCTTTCTTTCTTTTCCTTTCTGTCTTTTTTGAGACAGGGTCTCACAGTGTAATTCAGGCTGGCCTTCAACTCACGATGCAGCCCAGGCTGGCTTCAAACTCACAGCCATCTTCCTGCCTCAGCCTCCTGAGTGCTGGAATTATAAGTGTGCACCACCCCTCCCAGCTACATGTCTTAGGTCTTATTTAAACTGCCAACTCTGTACAAATTCAAGTTCATTGTCTCACAGGATTGAAGAATGAAGTCACAGACACGTGAAGGAAGTTAGGGAGTGTCCATTGGAAATAATGAGAAAAGTAGCTCTTGGCGGACACTCACCAGGAAGGTACCTGGAAATGGGACTTTTTTCAGAGTATTTGCTTTGCTTTGGCCTTATGTACAGATGAGCAGAGTGTGGGGACTTGTTTTAAAGAGGTGGCTCTGTGGGTTTAGGGTCTAAAGAAAGTTACAGTAACTGCTCAGCTGGCCAATGTGAAAGGAAACCAAGTTCAAAGGAACCAGTTACTCTGCGGTTCTAAGTTTCTTGCACTCAGCCTGGAAGTAGGAAGGAGCTGGCGGCCAATTTAGCAACTGTGCCTGAGAGCCTTCTTCCTGGAGGAAGAGCCCTTTCTACCTGTGTTTACTGTAACGTTCATCCTTGCTCCTGTGTTTTGTTTTGTTGCATTTCTAGGCTTACCTAGCTGCATGACTTGGGTTAGCTCTTAGCGGGTGCTAGCTTTCCTTTATCCAGCTGGCTGTACTTGGGCTGCCTGTTACTGACGGCCTCCTTATACGCTCACTGACTACGCTGTCTCTTATACTCTTTCCTTAGGACTACCTGTCTCGGGCTAGTTCCTCTTGAGTGTTGTTATTTTTGGATTAGGTGAAGAAAATATTTTAAGTGGTTAAATGGGTTGTGCAATAATAAATGAAGATGCCACTGCTTTTGGGTTCTATCTTTTTTTGTTTTTGGTACCGGGAATCGAACTCAGGACCTTGCACTTGTCAGTCAGGTGTGTGCTGCTGAGCTATATTCCCAGTCCTGGGGTTCTATCCTAAGGTCAAAGTAAATCTTAAAAAGAGAGAAGCTGATTAAGTAGGAAATGAAAGAGAAAAATATGTTTGTGTGGGGTGAATAGTAATTTTTTTTTTTCTTTTTGAGGCAGGGTCTCGCTATGCACTTCAGGCTGGCCTCGAGCTCACTTTGTAGCCCAGGCTGGTCTTGAACTCACAACGACCCTCCTGCCTCAGCCTCCCGAGTGCTGGGATTACAGGGGTGTGCCACCGTACCAGGTTTTTTTTTGTCTTTTTGAGACAGGGTCTCAATAGTAATGACTGAATAGTATTCAGTTACACAGGGTCATTGCAGGCGCGCAGTAATTTCTGCATTGTGGAAGTACAAGACACTGTGAGGTCACACAGAAGTAGGCATGGTACCCAGGGACCTCTGCAAAGCAGCTTTGCCATCACACTGAATCAGTTTTACTGGCAGGCTTGCCACAACCTTCTGTGGCAGGAGGACGTGCTGGAGATGGAGCCCAAGGTGCCAAGCCAGGCATGTGCTCCACCCTGGAGCCGCAGCCCCCACCTGCACCACCAGGGTCAGGAGGAAGGATCTGGGAAAACAGACCTCAGCAGCCTCTAACATACTTTGCTTTTGTCGGGTTTAAGTGGGTCCCCTGCACCAAGTCCACGAGAGACTCTTCTAGGTCCATTTTCGGACGTGACGTGCAGGGTTAAGGACTTGAGCGCCGCTGCTGAGCGGCTGAGTGTGTGCTTGGATGTTCTTTGACATAGTCATCTGTTGGTCAACAGGTCCTTCCGCTGGAGACGCCACTCTGAGGTAAGGAACAGTAGCCCAGGGCCATTTCCTTCCCGCAGAACCAGGAGTAACAGAAGAACACGGGACTGTAGGACCAGACAGGACTGCAGTTGTTCCTCCCCTCTCTCTTTTTTTTCTTTTGTCTTTGTTTTGAGACAGGGTCTCGCTATGCAGTTCAGGCTTGCCTTGAGCTCCCTTTGTAGCCCAGGCTGGCCTCGAACTCACAACGATCCTCCTGCCTCAGCCTCCCGAGTACTGGAATTATAGGCATGCACCACCACGCCTGGCCCTCCCATGCTTTCTTTTGCCCTTTACAACTTACATTTCTGATTATTGTTTTTCTATTTTTCCTGCTGTATCCCTTGGCTTCTCTTTAATTACCTTTCAGCTTGCTTCCCCGCTGCCTAACTGCCCCTCTTCTGTTGCTTGATCCTATTTCTTGGAGCCCTTAGGGAGAAGCCTGGAGAACCTGTCACTTCAACCTGATCTTCCTGTTCTATATCATCTGCCTATTTCCCACACTCTTTCTAACCAGCAGACCATGCCAGGAAATATGTCCTCTCATGAAGGAGGGAGAGGAGGGCTCACCTGTGGAATTGCTGGCTGTGGTACCTCAGGCGTGGTGGGAGCAAGTAGGTGTAGCCTATGTTAGGTCAATAGCGTATGACCTAACTGTGCTTGCAAAGCAGTCCTCAGCACAATCCTGCATTTCCTGAGCTGAAGCTCACTCTCTCTCTCTCTCTCTCTCTCTCTCTCTCTCTCTCTCTCTCTTTCTCTCTCTTTCGCCATTGTTTTGAGATGGGCTCTTGCTCTGTTGGCCTTAACCTCTAGATCCTCCTGCCTCAGCATCCCAAGTAGCCAGGATTACTATCCTACACCACCACCTCTGGTTTAAATTACTTTCTCAGACCTGTCTACTCAAACTTAGTGGCAAGAAGATTCTTGAAGACTTCAGCACTTACTAAATCTGGTTAGAGTCCATTGAGGAACAGACACCTCTAAGTGGGAAGCAGAAATATTAGCGTTCTTAAACAAGAACCTTTAAGGGGAGACAGGAGCCCTCACGCACCCACCTTCAGGCCTGACACTCAGTGACACTGGGGCGCTGTCCTCAGTGCTGTGGGGGGAAGGAGCCCTTTCCCCCGCTTGGAGAGAGCAACTCTGAGGATGCGAACGTCCTCTGCTAACTCTGACACAGCCCAGGAGCAGATCCTGAGCCACTGTACCTCGCGATGCCTGACAACAGAGGGGTGCGTGCCCCGATGTCCCAGGACCCCGGCAAGACTGCGTGACAACGCGGTGCCTTGTGCATTTCAGGAGGAGAATCGAGCCCTGGCAATTCGAAGCCTCCTTTGACCCCCGCCAGCTGCGGAAAGAGGCCTGTCTGCTCTCTGAGGTGCGGTGGGGCGTGAGCCCCAGGGCCTGGCGGGAGTCCGGCCTGAACACCACCAGTCACGTGGAGATGAACTTTATAGAAAAGTTCACTTCAGAGAGAAGTCTGCGCCCCGCCGTCCGCTGCTCCATCACCTGGTTCCTGTCCTGGAGCCCCTGCTGGGAGTGTGCCAGGGCGATCAGCGAGTTTGTGAGGCAGCGCCCCAATGTGAGTCTGGTGATTTACGTCGCACGGCTTTTCTGGCACATGGATGAGCAAAACCGGCAAGGACTCAGGGACCTGGTGACCAGTGGCGTGCGTGTGCAGGTCATGAGTGACTCAGGTAAGGAGCGAGCTCGGAGAGGGCGTGTGTCCAGGAGCTGCTGGTGATGGCTCCCTGCGTACACGGAGCTGGCTGTCCCTGGCCCGAGTCTGAGCAGTGAAAACGTCCAAGCTGATCCGAGGAAGGACCAGGGCAGACTCGAAGGGCAGGGAGGGCGTCGGCAATGGGCTCTTTTCCCCGCGCCCCCTCTGTAGCCTCTCAGCCGGCTCTGTTCCCTGGGTGCTGGGGTTGGAAGCCAGGATTGCGCCCGTGCTGTGCCGGGAGCACACCACGTACCCGCAGCCACCCTAAGTGACCTGTGGCGTCCTTTCCAGGGAGTAGCCCATCTCCAACGGCGAGCAGGCCAGAGCCTTCATGGACAGCGTGTATGTAAATACATCTGTGTCCCCTCTGTACACCGACCTGTACATTCTATTCTATACATTCTGGTCCTGCACTCAGGGCCTCACACCTATTCTTCCACAAGCTACACCCCAGTACCCTTCATTTTTAACAGCGGACATTTAAGCTGGAGCTCTCCTTGTGTACTTAGCACTGTATTTGATGAATGAGCCCGGATCTGTGCTTCCTTAGACTACAGCCACTGCTGGAGGAATTTTGTCAACTACCTGCCAGGGCAGGAGGCAGGCTGGCCGCGGTTCCCACCCATGTGGACAACGCTGTACGCACTGGAGCTCAGCTGCATCCTTCTAGTAAGTGGCTTCAGGGACACAAATGCTGGTGCCGAAGGAAGCTTCCTGCTCCTCACTTCTTTCCTGGGAATTCGGTGCATGTGCTCTGACTGTATCTTCACATAGAGATTTAGTTGTTCAACTACTTGGCTTACATTAAGAATATATAAGAGGGCACACTGGCACACACTGTGATCCCAGCGCTGAAGCTGAGGCAGGAGGATCATGAATTTGAAGCCAGCCTGGGCTATATAGCAAGTTTAAGACCAGCCTAGACTACAAAAGACCCCGTCTCAAACCCCTCCCTCCAAGAAACTGGCCCCCTAAAAAAAGAAAATTTGAAAACAATTTTTTTGGTGGGAAAACAATTTTTTTGGGGTATGGAAGAAAAGAATAGGCCAGACCAGGTGTGGTGGCACATTGAACCTGTAATCCGAGCACTTAGGAGGCTAAGGCAGGTGAATCATTGTGAGTTCGAGACCAGCCTGGGCTACAATGTGAGCTCAAGGCCAGCCTGAATTGCATAGAGAGACCCTGTCTCAAAAAGATGAGAAAAGAAAAAAAAAGAGAATAGGCAAATTAGTCTAAAATATATGTACATGAGCTGCATACAAGTTCATCATTATTATTGTGTGTGTGTTGTTGCTGTTTGAGGTACTGGAGATTGAACCTTGGGCCTTTCCTTAAACTACCTTCCCAGGTTTTTTAAAATTTTACTTTGAGCCTGGTGTGGTGGCACATGCCTGTAATCCCAGCACTTAGAGAGCCTGAGGCAGGAGGATTGTTGCAAGTTCAAGACCAGCCTGGGCTACAAAGTGAGCTCAAGACCAGCCTGAACTGCATAGAGAGATCCTGTCTCAAAAAAAAGAAGAAATTATTTTGAGGAAGCATGCGCTACCATACCCTGTTCATTTGTTTTGTTTTTAGGAAGAGTCTTGTGTAATCTGAGCTAGATTAGAACTCCCTGAACTCACTGTGTAGGCCAAGATGGCCTCAAGCTCACCGGGATCCTCCAGCCTCAGCTGGGTGCTAGGTTTGCAAGCTTGGGCCACCACACCTGGCTTGCATTGTTACCCTCACTGTTACTACGATGCACAGTGGCTCTGCAGCACGTTAATTAACCTCCTTTACCGTGCTGAGTGTATCACCCTCTGCGAGACGTGCACAGATCCCATTTGGATTCTTGGAAGTGTCTCAGCGTTCTTCCAACTGACTTTTAAAAATGTTCATGCTAATAATGGTATCATTGCCATGTGTGACCTAAGGATAATATAGAATCCTTTTTTATTCCAGAGTCTACCACCCTGTTTAAAGATTTCAAGAAGACACCAAAATCAGCTTACATTTTTCCAACTTACTCTTCAAGATTGCCATTACCGAGCAATTCCGCCCCCCGTCCTTTCAGCTGCAGGGTTGATGCACCCTTTTGTGACCTGGGGTTGAGCAGAATGATTCCTGCGTGTGCGCTGTTTCAAGACTGGAGCATGTGCCTCACCGGGCATGAATGCCGTTCCCGATCCAGAAATCGGGATGAGGGCGTGGATTAGAGGCAGGGTGTTGTCCAGCGTGTGTGAGGCTCTGGGTTCGACTCCCAGGTCTGCAATGAAAAGAAGAATCTAGAAATGTTCACAAGCATCATATACTGTATTTTTCCTGTCCTGTCCCAAATTACCCTAAAACTTTATACCTTCAAACAACAATGAATATTTATCAGCATAGTTTCTGTGGGTCAGGAGTTCTGAGCGGGTGTGTGTGTGTGTGTGTGTGCGCGCGCGTGTGTGTGTCTGACCCAGGGTCTCCCCTGCGGTGACACTGGGATGTCAGCCAGTGCCAGGTCATCTGGAAGCCCGACCGAGGCCAGGGACTACACTCCCAGGCTGTGTGCTCACAGACCAGGGAGGTGGGCAGTGGGGATGGCAGGTGTCACCCTGGCCAGATGGGGGTGTCCCGGGGTCTGCTGCACAGCGCTGCAGCTGCCGTCCCCCACAGCTAGGGTCTGAGAGACACCAAGACGGACCTGTGCCCATCTTCACTGACTTACTCCCGGAATCACAGCGTTTCCTCTCCAGTCTCGCCCTGCTCACCGGGTGGCTGTGAGACATGGTGTGGGGCTCTGGAAGCCCCACAGGTGAGGCCCTCGGCAGCCACACAGGGTTTCCCCTCTAGGCCTAGGGACTTTCTCCATTTCTGGACAAATAATTATATGAAGCCAAACTAAGACATAGCTAGAGGGAGACAAAGGACAAAATAGCAGATTTCTGCTGTTTTTTGCAACAACCTAACAGAGTTGGTTTGTTTTGTGGTGTTGGGAAAGGGACCCGGTGCCTCACACATGCTAGGCAGGTGCTGGGTCACTAAGCTACTCTCCCAGCTCACCACATAATTTTTTTGTGTATGTGTCTTTTTGAGACAGGGTCTTATTATGCAGTTCAGGCTAGTTTTGAACTCACTTTGTAGCCCAGGCTGGCCTCAAATGCACAATGATCCCCCTGCCTCAGCCTCCACTACATGATTTAATGGGTGATTAATTTGTCAGAATTTACTGAATTATGCATTGTGTGTTTTTGTTTTGTTTCACAGGGCTTTTGTGTGGTTTTTTTTTTTTTAGTGAAGTCTCACTGTGTGGTCATGTTGGCATTGAACTCATTATGTAGGCTAGGCCAGCCTGGAATTCCCAAAAGTCCTCCTGCTTCCCAAGGGCTAGAATTGTGGGTGTGCACCACCACCCAGGCAGTGTGATTCACTGTTGTAATAACAACCCTAACATTTGAATAGCGTAACACCCAAAGACATAGACACAGATACAGACACAACACACTCAAATGCACGGGAAAGCGGGGCTTGGAATCCTGTACTGAATTCTGTCCATTCAGCCGGCATGGGGTGGGGATGGGCCCACTCCAGTAGTGAGAAAGAGTGTATTTCGGGCAAGGGCAGACGAACGTCTCTTCTGCCCTCGTCCTCTAACCCAAAACCAGCCATGTGCCACATGAAAATCCCTCTGGTCCTTAGGAAGAAATCAAAATGAGACTTGGAAAGGGAAGGCTGCCACAGGGGGGCACTGGCAAGCTAAGATGCTCCCCGGCTTTGCCTGTGCCAGTGAGGAAACATCAGGGCAGAAATGGGATGAAAACCCCAAGAGTCCCCGTCCATGTGTCCCCACTCCCGTACCAGGAAGTAGCCCATCCCGGTCGTTATGGGAATAAGGCAGCCTCTTTCTGTTCTCTTCCGGTCCCCCTCCGCTCTCCTTCCGGTCCCCCTCCGCTCTCCTTCCCGTCTGCTTCTGGGGCATACAAAGGGTCTGGGAACGCACTGGCTATTCATGTGACGGCAATGTATGTTTTCTGCTTTTTTGATATTGGGGATTGAATACAGCTCCTAGAGGATGCTAGGCGAGCGTATTATCCCTAAGCCACACCTCCAGCCCTCTGTACAACTTTTTAAAAACTGCTGTGAAAGATGCCATTTATCAGTACCGCTGAGCCACACCTCCACTACCAGAACTAAGTTCCATCTATCTATCCACTGTCTATCCATCTCTCTATCTGTCATCAATCTATCTTTGTCTTAAATGTTGAACATACTCTCCATATTCCACAGCTTAACTACTACTGGCATTTTACTCGTGCTCCAGAATTTGCTGTGTGATTTGCACAATTTCATTAGGTAGTAGAGATAAGTCATAAAAATGTGAGTGATGAGCAGTATAAAAACCTGCAAGAAGTAATCATGAAACAATACAGGAAGGACCTGTGAAACTTAAATACGTAACGTATTAGGTACTTCTATGCCTGTGATCATATTTCTAGAAGGATACTCTAGCTTAACTTTGGACTGATCTCTGAAGTAAGTATGAATTTTCTCAATCCTTTTAACTTTCCTCTCACCTAAGCAAACCCATTCCGATGCCTTTCCTTCCTATGGTTTTGCATGCAGGCCCACTCCTCTCCACGTCTCCTCCCAGAGCGATCCCTTCACCACCCAGCAACCCGCAGCCCAGCCGCATTCTTTTTTTCGTTTTTGTCTTTTTGAGACAGGGTCTTGCTATGCAGTTCAGGCTGGCCTTGAGCTCACTTTGTAGCCCAGGCTGGTCTTGAACTTGCAACGATCCTCCTGCCTCAGCCTCCTGAGTGGTGGGATTACAGGTGTGTGCCACCATGCTTGGGCGAGCTGCATTCTTAATCCTCTAGACTTGCTTGCCTCACCTTTGTATTCCCAGCACCTGTTAGCAGCTAACGCAGGACCTGCTCGCCAGCTGCAAACACTTAATAAATTACTCGGAATCACTAAAAGCAGCTGAAAGGTACAAAAAGCACTGTTTCTCTATCAGAAAGCCTAAACATGATCAATTTTACTATTTAAAGGTTAAAGATGCAGATTTACAAGATATCAAGATAAAGACTGTAGCAGAATAGAGAGATGTGGATGAGAATTCCTAGTACAAATGTACATTATGAGTTGAGACAAAGCCATAGGTACACTCCAGAGAATGCCACTGTTTAAAGGGTAAGCAAAAAGAAAAAAAAAAAGCTAAGCAAGCTGGGCCTGGTGGCGCACATTTCTAATCCCAACACTCGGGAGGCTGAGGCAGGAGGACCACTGAGAGTTCGAGTCCAGTCTGGGCTACAAAGTGAGCTGAAGGCCAGCCTGAACTGCATAGTGAGACCCTGTCTCAAAAAGACCAAAAAAAAAAAAGAAAGGAAAAGAAAAAAAAGGGCTGAGCAAAGGAAAAGGAAACTCAGTGAAATAAAAAATATTAAATGTTTGCTGTCTTTAGACACTCAGTTACCCTTCATATAGAAAACCAATGTTATGTGCGTTTGTTTTTTTAAGCATGAGCATATTCTTCTCGTGAGTTTAGTGTTGAACCAAATGCCTCGTATCTACATTGGCCTTAGCTGCCATTTTATGGTGACACATAATGAACCTATCCAGACGCCTACCTGGCAGGGAGCCGAGTCCTCCTCCCACAGCATGGAGGGCGCCATCTTGGAAGCTTGCCCAGTCTGCCCTTGAGGAGAGCGTGACTCTGCACTCAACTGACCGTAGAGATCCCTGAGCAACCACCCAGTAACCCACTCCTCAATTTCTGGAGCGCAGAAACTCTGATGTAATAAATGAATCTCATGTGAGCCACCAAAGTTTTGGTATTGTTATTTGTTACCTAGAAATCAGTATCCCAAGGGCCGGGGACATAGCTCAGCGGCACAGGGCCTGCCTGGCAAGCGTGAGGTTGAGAGTTTGGTTCCCATTACGAAAAAAAAGGATAGAAATCAGTATCCCGTATGCTAGGAAGAGAAGGTCCTGGCTTTCAATTTTCTGTTCCTGTAAGTCATAGGTCATCTTCCTTGTTTTTGCCGAGGATGGAACCCAGAGCCTAGGCTGTACCCATAGCTCCTCACGTTGACTTTATAGGTGAGGAGATGAAGACTCAGACAAGATATTTGTACAGGGTTAGCACTTAGGTAAGGCTGAGGTGCGTGAGATGACTCACATCTCACACCTTCTGTGCCAGTTCAGCCAGTGTCCCTCACTGTCATAAGGTCCATGGGGAATACTGATTGCATATTCTCATCAAATACATGTCAGTATAAAAAACCTCCTAAGCCACAGCATGGTGGTCCATGCGCGTAAGAACCAGTACCTGGGAGGGAAGGACAAGAACATGGTAAGTTTGATGCTAGCTGGAACAACATGGGGAGATTTTTGTCTTAAACAAACAAAAAACAAAACAAAAAAACCCCAACTTTTTCTTTTCTTTTTGATTTTTTTCCTGTACCAGGAATGGAACTCACAACCTTGCACTTGCCAGGCAGGCACTGTGCCGCTGAGCTAAATCCCCAGCCCCTAAAAACCCCAACTTTTAAAATCTGCAGTTACCTACTAAAATTTTTTTTGGTACAGGAAATCAAACTCAGGACCTTGTACTTGCCATGCAGGCGCTTATGCCACTGAGCTGTATCCCCGGCCATACCTGCTAGATTGTGTTTTGTCCTTAGACTTGCTAAAGCATTTATCATAGTCATTGATTTTAAAATACATACCAGGAATTTTTAGGAGCTTCTGTGTAGGTTTTGGTTTTGTTTTTGTTTGTAGTGCAGGGGATTGAACCCAGGGCCCTAGGGCACGTTGGGTAAGTGAATTAAGTGCTCTATCCCTGAGCTACACAGTAATAATTCCCAAAACTCTGTGTGTATGCGTGTGTGTGTGTGTGTGTGTGTGTGTGTGTGTTTTAAAATAACATCTCCCTCTTTGGTCCAGCCATCTTGTTCTTTTTTTTTTTTGGTACCAGGAATTGAACTCAGGACCTTGAGCTTGCCAGGCAGACGCTGTGCCACTGAGCTATATCCCCAGCCCTAGTATAGCCCAGCCTGACCTCAAATTCCCAGTCCTGACTCAGCCTGGGAATATAAGCATGAGTCGCCATGCCTGGCTCCTACAAG